GTGTGTGTGTGCTCGCGCGTGTGTGTTGTCCTGTTTTAGAAATCTCGGGCAGCTGGTAGGTTTTACTGGTGAGACCCTGAAGCGGCGGGTCACAGTAGCCCTGTCGCCGGGGCCGTCGCGCCCCCTGGTGAAGTTAGTGAGGGAAAGCGCTAGGCCTGGACCTTTGGCTTCCTAGAACCCGCAAATTGTGAAAGCCACTCAATGCCTGGTAAATAAGCATTATGGCCATACGACTGAAGGGGAATTGCTGGGGCCAGAATAATACTGTTCCCTCCTCCTCCTGTTCCCCTGACAGGGTAGGGAGGTGGGCACCTAACCGATGATTATAACATATTTCCTGTTGGTAAAAATCAAGGCTTCAACCAAGACATATCATGTAAAGGTACAAGATCCCAATGATAAATGCAACTATTGTTTGCTTTAAATGTACCAATAAACTAAATGGGGGGGAAAAAGAAAAAAATTATAGTGTAAACTAGAAAATCAAGGTTTCATCGAAGGGCTAGGAGTAATTTCTTAGACATGTCTGGGGCGGGATGGTGTATGATAGAGAAACAAAATCTTTGCTGGTGGATCCTCAGCACTTTCCATTAATCTGTCAGGGTCACTGAATTCCTTTCCTTTTTGTTTACCTGATTGCTTACCCTTCTGAGAAAGTTTTCCTAGATAGGTTCCCTAAGATGCCCTCAGTTCATACCCTATACTCTTTAAGCTTGATGTGATATCCTCAGGGACAGGGAATTAAAGTAGCAAGTTAATCTGGGTAATGTGAAAGAGTTAAAGCCTGGCCATTTAAAATGTGGTCTCTGCCGTATCTATTATGGGGTTCTCTGGAACTAAAACCTCTGAGAGCTACCCCAGAATCTGAATTGTAAAAGGCCTCTAGGTGCCCAGGATGATGGTGCAGGCTGAATTCCAGGGACTCAGAAAGCTGAGGAAGGAGAATTGCTTTGATTTCTTTCTTTCTTTTTTTTTTGAGACAGGATCTCCATATATAGTCTAGGCTGTCCTTGAACTCATTATGTAGCCCAAACTGGACTGAAATTTCACAGTGACACTCCTGCCTCAGCCTCCCAAGTGCTGGAATTACAGGCATGCACCACCATGCCTGGCATTATTGCCTCGAATTCAAGGTTACCCTGGGCTACATAGTGAGACCCTGTTTTTGGTTTTTTTGTACCAGGCATCAAACTTGGGACCTTGTGCTTGTGAGGCAGATGGCGGCACCACTGAGCTAAATCCCCTGCCACTGAGAACCTGTTTTTTTTGTTTGTTTGTTTTGTTGTTTTTTTTTATAATCTCGGCGAGGTGTGATGGTGCACATCTGTAGTCCCAGTACTGGGGAGGCTGATGCAGGAGGATTACTGAGAGTTTGAGGCCAGCCTGGGGTGCATAATGATTTCAAGGCCAGTCTGAACTACGTAAGGAGACCCTTTCTCCAAAAAGGGGTGGGTGGGGATTCAGCTCAGTAGCACCATGCCTTCCTTACAAGCACAAGGTCCTGAGTTGGATCCCCGGTACTGGGAAAAAAAATTGCCAAGTGACTCCTATGTCCCTTAGCATTTGAGTAGTATTAGATTAGGGGCAAACCATTTGCTTTCTGTCAGGTAAAGTGCATTTTTAGGAGCCTTTAGGAGTCCTTTGTTTTCTTTTCTTTTTTTTTTTTGGTTTTTTTGAGACAGGGTCTCATTATGTAGTTGAGACTGACCTGGACTCGAATTTGCAGTGATCCTCCAGCCTCAGCCTCCCAAGTGCTAGGATTACAGGCGTGGGCCACCACCCCTGGTGGGAGTCCTTTGTTTTCTAGCCTGGGAATAACTTGCTTGGGGAAAAGGAACTTTTGGTGGAAAGGAGGGGCAGACACAGAATTCAAGAATACAAAAACTAGAATGTCCCTTACATTTTTTAAAATGTTAGCAAAGTTTTATTAAAGGTAGGAAAAGATAGCTGAGCATGGTGGTGCACGCCTGTTATGTCAGCCCTTGGAAATCTGAGGCAGAAGGATCACTACAAGTTTGAGGCCAGTTGGTGCTACACAGTGAGATCAAGGCCAGTCTGAACTACATAGTGAGGCCTAGTCTCAAAAATAAAAACAAATGGTTCAGGGATTTAGCTAAGTGGTTGCACCACCTGCCTTGCAAGCACAGGGACCCGAGTTCAATCCCCCATGCTAAAATAAATAAATAAATAAAAACAAATAAAAAATAAAACAAAGAGACCCCCCCACCCCAAAATAAAGGTAGGACAAGAAACAGGCTCAGCAGAGCTAGTTTGGGCCAAGTAAAAGTAGGAAAAGAAGTACACCCTATAGTAGGAGGGCAGAGGACTGACCATGGAAGTGAGAACAGAGTTGTCTAGATTTTATTTATTTATCTTTGAGATAGGGTCTTGCTATGCATCCTAGGCTGGTATTCATTGAATTCTCAATCCTACTGCCTCTGCTTCTCAACTGCTAGAGTTACAGGCCTGTGCCACCATGACTGGCTTCCCCCAGATTTTTCAATGAGCCCTGGCAGCTTTTGGCATGGGGACTATATGCCTTAATATAACTCTGATTTTTTTTCCTTTTTGCCACAAGGGGATTGAACTCAGGGCCTTTGCATTAAGCTATATCCCTGAGTTTTTTTTCTTAAGTTTTTGAGACAGGGTCTCCTTTAGGTCATTAAACTGCCCAGGCTATCTGGGTTCAAATTGGAGACATTTCTGCCATCCCAGAGAGCTAGGGTTATGGACAACAGTCACCATGCTAAGCAACCTATGACATTTTGTTTAGCACATTACAAGTGTATCAAATAGCTTCACTTCCATTATTCTGTATTGGAAACAACAATGTATAACTAGGACACTCTGCAAATGAGGAAAATGAGATTTAAATAATTCAATGACTTTTCCAGTCACTTAGCTGTAAGATGAAGAGCCCTCATTATGCTTTAGATAAATTTTAATTCTATGCTTTGGAAATAGAATAAGATGAACTTATACTGCGGATCAAACCTAGGGCCTGGGGTATATATGCTAGGCAAGTGCTCTGCCACTGAGTTACACCTCCAGTCCCTTTATTTTTGTTTGTAGGTCCCAGGGTTAATTTCCCTGGGCCTCAAAGTCCTAATAGTGGTGTAACAGTGCAAGCACTTATGGTAAAGTGCCCAGAAAATGTTCCTATTTTTCAGCTCTCCCCATCTTCCTTTCCAGGACGCCCGTGAACCCTGGGTTCCAGGTGGTGCAGCACTGCGTCTCCCAAGGCCTTTCCCTGAGCTGTTAGGTCAGTTCTGCTTTTGCACGGTCTGGATTTTCAGGTTTAATTAGGTGCTTCCATGAAAGTGGCTTATTTTGGGCTTTCTCTGCTGAAAAAGTGAGTGGGAGACGGTGTTGGGGAATTCAGGGTTGGAAAAAACAGGAGTCTCAACAAAAACAAACCGCTAAGCGCTTAATCAAAGGTCGACCCTGCGCTGCTCCCCCTCCGGCCGCCAGGGGGTGCGAAGCTCCGGAAGTCCGTCCCAGGACCGAGCACTATTCTGCTTGTTATTCTCACGTTCACGTCCATTGGGTTTCGCGTAGTCGTTTGTCCTGCGCGGCTACCGTCCGCGTACGAATCTAGCCCGGGAACTAAGTCAGAGAAACGCGTTCTGTGCGGTCACCAACTGGGAGCTTTCCGACTCCAGACATCGTCGGGACTGGCAAGATGTGCACCCTAGGATTGTTCCCCCCGCCGCCGCCTAGGGGTCAAGTCACCCTATATGAGCACAATAACGAGCTGGTGACAGGCAATAGCTATGAGAGCCCGCCTCCCGACTTCCGGGGCCAGGTGGCCAGGGCAAGGAGGGAAGGAACCTGCTAGAGTTGGGGAGGCGTCTGGGAGAATTTGGGGGATGGAGGCGTAGAGACTAGCGGAGTGGGAACTGCCGAGTCTGGGTGGGAGGCTAAAAGGGTGGGAATATATTTGAGGCCTGGTATTGACCTATAAAGGATGCTGAGGTGCTGTGGGGGAGTCCTGGAGGAGATAGAGAAAATCAGGATGAATCTAGGATGTCTGAGGGTGCAGGAGAACTATTAAGAAATCGGAAACAGTGGGAGAACAAAGGAGTCAAAGCCTGGAACTTTTTTCGGCAGGGTTTCTGGGAAAGGAAGCTGACATTTACTGAGTTTTTGCTATGTAAGAGTGAGGCTCTGAATCAAGTGTTTTCTAAAATGACTCCTCTGAAAAATTGTTCTAGAGTTAAGACTTATTTACTTCTCTCACAAATGTTAACTTTGTGGAAATAGAAACAGGTCTATGGAGCCTCTTTAGGCTTAGCCCAACCAAGGGTTAGAGATGGTGGGGAGTTCAAGAAAGATCTGGGCAATAGATTGACTCATTGTCATATTCTTTACTTTTGGACTATAGTGGATCAATCTACCTGTCCTACACCTGGCTAAGGATCCCCTAAAGGCTCCTGGGAGGTTGGACCATGGCACAAGAACTGCCTTCATCCATCACCGGGAGCAAGTGTGGAAGAGGTGCATCAACATTTGGTGAGGCATGACAAAAGGTTTTCTGGATCATGCTGTGCAGATCCTGAAGAAAATGATGTTACCACTCCCTTACCTTGGGCTGCTTTTCAAAAAGTTGTTTTGTTTGGTAGCTTTCCTTTTTTGAGGGTACCAGGTATTGAACTTGGACCCTAGTGCTTGCAAGGCAGACTCCCGAACCACTGTGCTAAGTCCTTGGCCCAAGCTGTTTTATCTGGGCTTTCTCTCCATGAAGATTGTATATCACAAATTGTATTAAATTTTCAGTCCTCATTTTGGACCTCAGGGCAGATGCTCCATTTCATCTTTAATGACTTGCCTTGGCTTCTGGTTTGGTTACATGAACCTGCTCCTTGTACTGCCTCATGTCATTATTCTGAACTTTTATCTGAAGCTCAGCAAGATTAGGTACTGTAAGGTTGCATTGATTGATTTCATACATAGGTCATTGATTTTGCACATGTAGGATTGGAGCCACACTAGCTGGGCTCATTTTCTTGATGCTGCCACGTTTTAGCTGTGTGGCTTTGGGCAAGTTCTTTAATTACTCTGTTCCTAAGTTTTCTGATTTTATAAGATTATAGTAATGATAAATTGGGTAAGGCGTAGTACATATCAATCTCTTCAAGAGTTAGCTGTTACAGGGCCGGGGAATTAGCTCAGCGGTTCGGTGGCCTGCCTTGTAAGCGCAAGTACCCAAGTTCAATCCCCGGTACCAAAAAAAAAACAACAAAAAAAGAGTTAGCTGTTATCATCATTGTCCTTATTACCATTATCATCTGTAGGAAAAATTCCTAGATGTGTTTATTTTGTGAACAGTTGCCAAATAGTCCTCCGTCAAAATTGTGTGCATATATAGTCCCATGAGCAGTGTATGAGTGCCTGATTCTCAACATAAGTATTTTTATTTTTTATATATATTAAAAAATTTTTTTTTCTGATACAGTGTCTTGCTATGTAGTCCAAGCTGCCCTTGAACTCCCTATGTAGCCCAGACTGGCCTTGAACTCCTAGCCTAAACCTTCCAAGTACTGGGATTACAGGTGTGTGCCACCATGCCTAGCCCCCCAAAAATGTTTGATTTTGATACTTGGTATTGCAGTAAAGTTTAATTTGCATGTCTGTTTTTGTGAGTGAAGTTCAACATCAGTTTACTGCCTGAGCAACTCCTGGGACCTCTTTTGCCTCCCAGCATTCTGGCTGCTGATTCTCAGCCATTTTGGTAGCTCCCTTTCTGATGTCCCTTCTGTGGATGCTTTGGGGACAAAACTTTGAATTGATGAGTCAGACCTGGATGTTCACTTTGGAATTTACCAGATACTCATGCTTGGCTCCTCCACAGATGTTACACATTTGGCCTGTTCAAATCCAATCTCATTTCCCTTTCCAAACTTGTTTCTTTCTCGAGTGCTTATTTCAAGGATAAGGGCCATATTATTCATCGAGGAGCAAATGGTTTGTATGTAGAGCAGACAGTTGAATTTGCCTCTCTGTAGATTAACTTTTTCATTTTAATTAGTCTCTTCATACCCGTTTTCTTGTTTATTTTATTTTTATTTTTATTTTTGGTGAGACAGGGTCTCACTATGTAGTTGAGACTGACCTGGAACTCACTATATAGCCCAGGCTGGTCTCCAGCTCACAGCGATCCTCCTGCCTCAGCCTCCTGAGTGCTGGGATTACAGGTGTGCGCCACCATGCCCGGCCCCATTTTCTTGTTTAAAAATGCTGTAATAATGGTATTTTTTGGGGTTGTGATAATGGTCATATTAGATATGTGAAACACCTACCACATTATAAACATATTAGCTGATAATAATCACTACTAGATAGTTCCCTTGACGTTACTCTTTCCCTTACTAATGTGCAATTATCCCTCAAATCTTGTGTGTTCTACTTCCTAAATCTCTCAAATCTGTCTCCTTTTTTTCTTTTCCTTTTTTTCCCTTTGTCCCCTTTTTTGATTCTTTGTATTCCCACTGGTTCAGGACCCTTTACCTTTTTTCTTGAAAAGTCCTGAAGTAGCCTCTTTTTTTTTTTTTTTTTTTTTTTAAGAGTATAAAAAATTAGGGGCTGGGTATGTAGCTCAGTGGCACCACACCTCCTGCCTTGGAAGTGCAAGGTCCTGAATCCGATCTCCGGTACCAAAAAAAAAAAAAAAAAAAAACCCTAACAAAAAAGAGTAGGAAAAATTTTTTGAGGGAAAGAAAGCTCAGAGAGACAGAAGGGGGCCTGGAAAGTGGGTGGCTCCCTGAAGTAGCCTCTTAACTGATTTCTTTTTATTTTGGTCTCTAATCTTCTGCTCTTTCTGAAATGCTATTGTGATTAGTTTATTCCTTTGCTCACAACCCTTCTGTGGCTTTCTGGTCACTGTCTTAGAGCAAGTTTCAATTTCTAGACCTTCTCAGGAGGCCCCTTAAAGATTTCTGAGTTTTAGTAACCTCATCTATAAATGACTAGAATGAATTTTGGGAGATTAGTAACTGTAAGACCAATATATAAAGTGCTTGGCATGTAGTTAGACTCATTAAATGTGAGTGCCCTTATAATTTGTGTTTTTTGAATGAATGAATGAAACTTGTAGAGGGGGAATGAGAGAATCAGAATACTATCTGATTTACTGTTTCCTTATCAGGCGTGATACGGGCCTTTTTGGGGTGCTGAATGAAATTGCAAACTCAGAGGAAGAGGGTGAGTGTTTTTCCCTCCAGCCTGCTCTAGTTTTATGCTTGGTCTTTTCCCTCCATATTTTCAGTGAACTCACCCCAACACCTGTTAGCCCAACCTCTTACCCTTTAGCCCTATTTTTCCCTATTGTTTTCTCTTTTCCTTTTACCTCCCACAACATACCCAGAGAAGGTGTATAGTGCCTTTGCTGGGCAGAAGGATCTGGAGAGTGGTTGAGCTCACCTGAGAGGTACCCAGGAGAAACCTGTGTGTGAATTACTCACAGCTGTTTCCTCAACCCCCCCCCCCACAGTATTTGAGTGGGTGAAGACCGCATCCAGCTGGGCCCTGGCACTCTGTCGATGGGCCTCCTCCCTCCATGGATCCCTCTTCCCTCACCTGTCTGTAAGTTTGGCTATCTCCTGGCCCTCCCTGAGTGTGGCAAGCCCATCCCCAAACCCTTCCTGTCCTTTCCAGTCAGATTGGCTGGAATGAGTGCATGGGATCGAAGTGATCCAGCTGTCCTGTGGGAACAGTGAAGGATGGTCTCCCCTTGTCCCCATGCGTCCTCTCCATGCCTGGCTCCTCTCTTTTGTTCTTACAGCTCAGGAGTGAAGATCTGATTGCTGAATTTGCTCAAGTCACAAACTGGTGAGTTGAAAAAAAAAAAAAGAAAGAAAGAAACTGGTTAGTGCACAGTTCCTGGGGCCTTGTTGGAAGGATGTGCTAAACCTTTGAACTTTTGCGGGGAGAGAAAGTCAAGGAAGAGATTCTTTGTATGCCTTTCCTGACTGCTCATCACTTTTTCACTCCTTCTAACCTCCCACCCCTGCAAAAAAGAAAAAAATATGGAAAAAGCAGAGCAGAGTCAGGTGTGGTTGTGAATGCCTGTAATCCCAGCTATTCAGAAGGCTAAGGTGAGAGGATCATAAGATCAAGACTTGCCTGGGCAATTTGGTGAGACCTCATCTCTCTCTCTCTCTCTCTCTCTCTCTCTCTCATCAGGAATTGAACTCAGGACCTTGCACTTGTGAGACAGACTTGGGCGCCACTGAGCCAAATCCCCAGTCAGAGACCTCATTTCCTAAAAACTAAATAAATAGGAGCTGGGGATTTAGCTCTACGGTGCTGCACCTGCCTTGCAAGTATAAGGACCTTAGTTTGATCCCTGGTATAGAAAAAAAAGAAAGAAAAGAATGAAGGAAGGACAGGCGGAGTAGCTTAGTGCTACAGTGCCCCTGGCTTTGATCTAGTACTGAAAAAACAAAACCCCCCAAAACCTCAACTATGTCCTTATGTGAAAGGGAACCTGAGCTTCTGGGTGGGGTATGGGAGAAGTGGGTTTCAACTCTGTGCTTATTCCTGCCCCAGGTCCACCTGCTGCTTGCGGGTCTTTGCCTGGCACCCTCACACCAACAAGTTCGCAGTGGCCCTGCTGGATGACTCCATCCGAGTATATAATGCCAACAGGTATGTGGGTGCAGGAGGCTGGCTCTGATCTATCAGTCTCTCCTTCCAGTCTTAGTCCCATGGGAGTCCCAAGAGCATCCTGTGAGTCCAGAGCCAGGTCCCCATGGCTTCCAGTACGGGAGTCAAGGGTTCTCCAGAAGTGGAGGTGTCTTCTTTCTAAACCTGACCTTTATCCTGACCTTCTGGGACCCTTGGGCCCTGGATGGGTTGGTTTTCTTCTGTATGTTTTTCCCTTCTTAAATGTGCCAAGGTCCCCTGAGGCTTAGTGTTTTGATTCAGTTCCCTGCTCCTTCACTTCAGCACTATAGTCCCTTCTCTGAAGCACCGACTACAGCGAAATGTGGCAGCTCTGGCCTGGAAGCCTCTCAGTGCCTCTGTCTTGGCTGTGGCCTGCCAGAGCTGTATTCTCATCTGGACCCTGGACCCTACCTCCTTGTCTACCCGGTGAGTCCTGGAAGCCTGTCTTGTCTTGGCCTGAGGCTGTGGCTATGCCAGGGTGGTGGGTGGTGAAGGGAACATTTTTGTCCTCACAGCCCTTCTGAGGACTATGGGGAAAGCAGATGAAGGTCAACATGGGGTACTAGGATGCTCTTAATCTAAAGTAAATAACAGAACTAGGGGCTTCTGGAATTGTGGGGAGTAATGGGAAGGAAAGTCTGTTCCAGAGTACTGGAGATACAGGTTTATTTGTTATTTTGAGACAAGGCCTCACTACATAGTTCAGGCTGGCTTTCAATGTAGGTTTAAAGGAAGAGGGAAGGGAATAAATACCCATTAGAGTAGAAACCATCAAAATTGGAGCTAGGTGTGATGGTGCTGTTCTGTAATCCCAGCACTCTGGGAACCTGAGTCAGGAGAGTCAAATGTTCAAACCCATCCTGGGCAATTTACAGAGACCCTGTCTCAGAAAGGTGGCAGTGGTAGTGGGAAGGGGTGGGTATAGCTCAGAGTAAAGGCCTTGGGTTCAATCCCTAGTACTGCAAAATAATAAAATTTTAAAAGGGTGGGAGATGTAGCTCAGTACCCTAGGTCAGCAGTTCACTTGCACAGTTCAGTCCACAGTACTTTGAAAATAACTAAATAAAGCTTATGTTAATAAATGCTCTTCTCAAAAGGCAGGCATTTCAGTTGGGTAGTTTTTTGTGTTTGTTTTTATTTTTTTATGGGGGGGTACCAGTCACAAGGCAGGCATTCCAGTTGAAAACAAATAAGAATAAAAAGAAGTAAAAAAAGAAAGAATACAAAGAAGTGATCTAAATATGAGTATTTTTTCAAAACTTGGGGCTGGGGTTTTAGCTCAGAGGTTCTGGCTCCTGCCTTGGAAGCACAAGGACCTGAGTTCAATCCCCGGTACCAAAAAAATAAATAAAAAAAAATCAAAACCAGTAGGTACCACAGTGAAACAGTGAACTATGAAATACTAAAGGTATTTTCAGTAACATCAAGGTAAAAGAAAAGCCAAGTGTGGTGGTACACACCTGCAATCCCAACACTCTGAAAGGCTGAGGCAGGAGAACCATCAAAGTTTGAGTCCAGTTTGGGCAATTTAGTGATTTAGCAAGAACCTTTCTTACCGGGTGTGGTGGTGCACGCCTATAATCCCAGCACTCCGGAGGCTGAGGCAGGAGGATCACTGTGAGTTCAAGATCAACCTGGGTTACATAGTGAGTTCCAGGTCAGTCTCAACTACATAGTGAGAACCCTGTCTCAAAAAAACAAAAACAAAAACAAAAGGAACCTTTCTCATGATAAATAAGAAAGGGCTGGGGGTGTATATGAAAGCTTGGGTTCCATTCCCAATACCACCAAAAAAGAAAAAATTTTGATGAAAGGAGTACTATTATATCAGGGGTATTGTGGGGCAGTTGGTAATAAAGTATATCGTGGTACAACCTTTACAAGTATAATTTGTTGACCTACCTATCCATCCATCCATCCATCTCTCTGATTTGTGGTACTGGGGATAGAATTTAAGGCCTTCACACTTAACTACATCCCTAGCCCTGTTTTGATAGAGGGTTTCCCTAAGTTGTACAGGCTGGGCTCAAACTTTCAGTCTTCCTACCTCAGCCTCTCAGAGTTCTGGAATTAAAGGCATGTGTCACCACATCTGGCTTTATTTTAAAAAAAGATGTAAACCTTTTAAAAAATCCCAAATTCCACTTTCTCTGTACTACACATACCTGAATACAGTGGACTATTGAGTTATGACTGGGCCAGATGTGAACAACTTGGGTTATGACCGGAATTTTAGTTTTTTTTTGGTACCAGGGATCGAACTCAGGACCTTGTGATTGTAAAGCAGGCCTAGTGCTGCTGAGTTAAATCACTGAGTGGCTCAGAATTTTAATTTTAACTTATGAGCAGTCTTGAGTTGTGACCCGAATGCCAGCTGCTTGTGCTTCCAGATGATCACAGATACAGATTTAACCCTCAAAGAGCTCTGGAAGAAACATTACAAGATTCTTTCCTGTGTGGGGTTAACTGAGAAATCCTGGGCCAATGTCTCTCTAAGGACACACTGAGATCTGCCTGTATACAGGAGAGAGACTTTGAAGGCTGTATAGAGAAACCTGAACCTTCAGTTGACCAACTTGAGTTACAACCAGCCCTCGTGAACGAGTTGAGTTTATAAGTAAGTCAAGGGTCCACTGTACAAAAGATACATAGAGCCAGGTGTGGTAGTGCATGCCTATAATCATAGCACTTGGGAGGCTCAAGCAGGGATATTGCTGTGAGTTTGTATGTAGCTTGGGATACATAGTTCAAGGACAGCCTGAAGTACAGAGAGACCCTGTCTAAAAAAAAAAGATACACAGAAATTATTATTTTATTATTTTTTTGGTACTATGGGTCAAACTTAGGTCTTTGTGCTTGTGAGGCAGGCAGAGGAACCACTAAGCTAAATCCCCAGCCCCATGGAAATTACTTTTTACAGCATTTTTTTTTTTGGTACTGGGAATCAAACTCAAGTCCTTGAGCTTGCAAGGCAGGCAGCAGAAGCACTGAGCTAAATCCCTGGCCCTACAGCATTGTTTATAGTAACTAAAAATTATAGCTGGGCATAGTGGCACACACTTGTAATCTCAGCTACTTGGGAGGCTAAGCTGCAAGGGTAAAAAATTCAAGGGGTAGCCGGGTGTGGTAGTACATGCCTATAATCTCAGCACTCAGGAGGCTGATGCAGGAAGGACTGCTGGGAGTTTGAGACCAGCCTGCACTACATAGTGAGTTCTAGGGCAGTCTGAACTACATAGTGAGACCCTAAATTTAAAAAAAAAGAGAGAGAGAAAAGAGAAGAGAAAAAAAGAAAAAGAAAAATTCAAGGGGTGGAGCTGGGGGTGGAGCCTGAGGCAAGAGAATCATTGTGAAGTCAAGGCCAGCCTGGAATATATAGCAAGATTTTGTCTGAAAAAAAAAGTTCAGGGATGGGGATTTAGCTCAGTGGTGCCGCCACCTGCCTCACAAGCCCAAAGACTGGAGTTCAATCCTGGTTAAAAAAAGAAAAAAAATTCAAGGGGCCAGGAATTTGTATTTTTTTCGGTCCTGGGGATTGAACTCAGATCTTTGGGCTTGCTAGGCAGGCCACCAAACTGCTGAGCTAAATACCCAGCCCGGGGCCAGGAATTTAGCTCAGTGGTTCCACCGCCTGCCTTACAAGCAAGCACAAGGTCCTGAGTTCGATCCAGCAAACCAAGCAGCATGTGTGTGTGCACATGTGTGTACACATGCGTCCTTGCGTATGGATGTGTGCTGCACATGTGTGTCACACATGCACACGAGTGTGTGCGTGTGAAGAGCTTGTCATATGTGACTGCATGCTACCTGTGTATATGGGAGGTACGTGTGGTACATGTGGGAGTACATGTGGACATAGGTGTGAGAGTATGTGTTTGTGGCTGGAAAGGTAGAAATACAGACATTTAGAATTATCTTTTTGGCTAAAAAAAAAAAAAAAAAAAAAAAAAGGAGGGGCTGGGGATTTAGCTCAGTGGCACTGTACCTGCCTTGCAAGCACAAGGTTCTGAGTTCATTCCCTGGTACTGGAAAAAAACGGGCAGGGAATAGGAATATAGCTTAGTGGTGGAGTACTCCTGGGTTTGACTCCCAGTATCCCCAGAGTAAATTAATGAGAATTTTTTTTTTTTTTGGTACAGGGGTTGAACTCGGGTCCTTGTGCTTGCAAGGCAGTCCACCGAACCGCTGAGCTAAATCCCTGGCCCTTCCCCAGAGTAAATTAAAATGGAGTAGAGGTGGAGCTTAGCACTAGAGCAGTTGTCTAGCATGCACCAGGTCCTGAGTACCACAGAAAATAAGTAAGATTTAAACATTGCAGGTAACCCCAGTGCCCATTTGGAGAGGCATATCTGAGTAGGGTTCATCTATCCAGCAGAGCCATTGCAAAGAATGAAATGAAATGACGTGGAAAGATAGCTGGGGTTTGTTGGGAAGTTGAAAAGTACTGTGCATCAGTGACCTAAGACCACACTGGAAATAAAGGTGGCTGTGCTAGGTGGAGAGGGTGACAGTAACTCAGTAATCTGGGCCACGTACATGGATCTGTAAATAAGATGACACAGCAGATGCTCTCAGGTGGTCCCTGTCTAGGGTCTGTCCCCACTATGCATTTTTGTGGAAAGCAGAAAACACTGAGCACAGAGGAGGGAAGTGCTGTCATGGAGTGCAGGACATGTTCTGGGGAAGGCGGGTAACTCTGGGAAGACGTAAGAGCCTGGATCCTAGTGATGCCAGCCCGGGCTGCATGGCCTTCCGGGAGAGGGCTGTGTTGTAGGATGCAGTGGGTTTACCAGTCAGGTATTGCTTCCTGGAGGCCTGGAGTGCAAGCTTACTCCTTTTCACCCTGGCTTCGACACTGCGCATCACCTGCTCTTCTCTGTAGCCCTCCTGCTGGTGATTTCCTTCCTTCCTCCTCTTTCCCCTTTGTCTTTTTTTTTTTTTTTTTTTTTTTTTTTTTTTTTTGTACCAGGGATTGAACTCGGGATTGAACTCAGGACCTTGTGCTTGTGAGGCAGGCAGTGGAACCACTGAGCTAAATCTCCGGCTCTCCCCCTTATTTTTGATGATCATTATTTATTCCCTCTTATCCTAGATTTGTGCTCAGAGGAGCCACTGAGAGTGGGTTTTAGAAGCAAGGATATGGAATTATAGGGCCTATGTCTTGCTACCCATTTCTCTTTTTTTGTTTGGTACCGGGGATCGAACTCAGGATTTTGCACTTGGAAGGCAGGCGTGGTGTCTTTTTTTAATTTTAAGACAGGGTTTCATTATGTAGATCAGGCTGGCCTTGAACTCTTGGCAATCCTTTTGCCTCAGCCTCTCAAGTGCTGGGCTTACAGGCGTGTGCAGTCACACCTAGCTCTTCTTGCCATCTTCTGATTCTACATCTTCGGTTACCCCTCGGCAGACCCTCTTCTGGCTGTGCCCAAGTGTTGTCTCACCCTGGGCATGCACCTGTCACTGGCCTGGCCTGGGCCCCCAGTGGGGGGCGGTTGCTCTCAGCTTCACCTGTGGATGCTGCTATTCTGGTGAGTGGTCCCTATCCCTGGTCATTTCAGCCACCCCTGTCTTGAGGCAGGAGAGGTCTTCACAGTGAGATCATTGTCCCTTGATTGATCAGCTTACGCAGGGAAGGAGCTTCACCATCCAGAGTCCTCAGATCTAACACTGCCTGTCATCACTGTAAATGTAAACTCATGCCCACATGTTTAACAGTCCCTTTCTTTCTTCTGTCCTTTCTGCCTCTTTGTATGTTGAAGAGAGTAGCCCACTGTGAGCTTATAGAGTACTTGTGCCTCTGTCTCTCTCCTGCCTCCTCTCATAGGTATGGGATGTCTCAACAGAGATCTGTGTCCCTCTTCCGTGGTTTCGAGGAGGTGGGGTTACCAATCTGCTCTGGTCCCCAGATGGCAGCAAGGTCCTGGCCACCACTCCTTCAGCTGTCTTCCGGTGAGTGGAAGAAAGGTAGAGAGGACAAGGATCTAGAGAAAGGCACTTAGCTTCTGAAACCTCACTGAGGATGGCTAGGTTTTAGGGCTGGACGCCCTAATCTCTTCGTCACCTCTGTGTCTCAGAGTCTGGGAGGCCCAGATGTGGACCTGTGAGAGATGGCCAACTCTGTCAGGGCGCTGCCAGGTAAGGGGCCTGTAACTCCCAGAAGCTGGGAAGAGGTGATCCAGTGGGCCCCATCATCCAAAGCTGGCTCCCCACCTCACCTATTTCCTGTGTCCTCCCTTCCCTGAGCCTAGACTGGCTGTTGGAGCCCAGATGGAAACCGCTTGCTGTTCACTGTATTGGGGGAACCACTGATTTACTCCTTGTCATTTCCAGAACGATGTGGTAAGTTACAGCAGTACTTCAGAAAGCAGAATATCTGGGGTGGTCAGAGGGAGGCAGAAACCTGCAGAATGCCACTCGGAAGAGCCTTCAGATGTGTTGATGCCCATGGTGTGCTGGCTGGGACTAGTGGGAAGGCTGTTTCTTGCCCCTAGACCCTCTGCCCTCACCCACAGGTGAGGAAAAGGGGCATGTTGGAGGCGCGAAGTCAGCAACAATTGTGGCAGATCTTTCTGAGACCGTAATACAGACGCCAGATGGTGAGGAGAGGTGAGTTGAGTGTGAGGGATGGAATGGAAAGGGGATCACACTGAGCCCTCCTAATTTTCTATCTTGGCTCGTAGGCTCGGGGGAGAGGCCCACTCCATGGTCTGGGACCCCAGTGGGGAGCGTCTGGCTGTGCTCATGAAAGGTAAGTGGTGAGGTGGAATGGCTTTGCTTAGGCACAGCTGCCTGTCCAGGAATTGCCTGTGTCCCTGCGCCAGCCCACAGTTTAGTTCTGCCCCTACCCTGTGACTTTCTCCAGATTTCCCTTTATTCGTGGATTTTTCTTGTGTGTGACTCTGGGGACTGAACCTAGAACCTCACACTCGTGTTCTACCAATGAACCACACTCCCAGCCCAACCGTTTTCTTACAGGAAACCCTCAAGTCCAGGATGGGAGACCAGTCATTCTCCTTTTTCGTACTAGAAACAGCCCTGTGTTTGAGCTACTTCCCTGGTAAGTGCTGGGTGGGCACCATGCCACCTTCCCACACCTCACACATCCCACTGACACCTCCCTTCTGCCTTGTCACCTCTCACCTGTTCTTCCACGTCCCTAGTGGTATTATCCAGGGGGAACCAGGAGCCCAGGCCCAGCTCATCTCTTTTCATCCTTCCTTCAGCAAAGGGGCTCTGCTCAGCGTGGTGAGTAGGCCAGGCTGCTGGGGTAGGTGGGGTAGAGAAATTCAGTGCCTCAACTGCTGTGGGCCTCTGCGGTGAAGCCATTTTGGTCCCAGGCTGATATTTTTCTTTTCCCATTCTCTGCAGTGCTGGTCTACAGGCCGAATTGCCCACATCCCTCTGTACTTCGTCAATGCCCAGTTTCCACGTTTTAGTCCAGTTCTTGGCCGGGCCCAAGAGCCTCCAGCTGGAGGTATAGGCTCTATGCCCGACTTGCCACTGTTTACTCAAACAGCCTCAACCTCCCCGCCTTGGGATCCTCTCCCAGGGCTATCACCTGCTCAGGCCCACTCCCCTCACATCTAATAATTAAAAAATTGTTTTCCACTTCATGATGTTTTCTGGAGAGCTGCACTGGGGTATAGTTTGGGGGAGGCAAAACATCGACTTTAGGATAAGATTTCCTATGCAGTACTGGCTGACCTTAAACTATGTAGCCCAGACTGCCCTCAAACTTGCTGTGATCCTGCCTCAGCCTTCCAAGTACTGGGATCACAGGTGTGCACACTATACCCAGCTTACTGTTTCTTTTTAGTCTTGTGAATTTGATCACTGTATATAATCATAGGAACTGGATAGTTTTAAATTTTTATTTATTTATTTTTTGGTACCAGGGATTGAACTTGGGTCCTTGCACTTGCAAAGCAGGCAATGGAACCACTGAGCTAAATCCCCTGATCTAGGTGTTTTTTTAAATGATTTAGGAGACAAAGCTAAGAAATTAGTGGTGAGGAAAATACCTAGCATAGGAGTCTCATAATAGATGTTTCACTTTTGCCAGTTTGAGTAATTCCCAGGATGATGTAGGGAAATAATGGGTCACAGACTGGTCACTTAAGAGATGGAGAACATTTTATTGGACTAGGAATTTGTGGCAGGGACTGAGTGCTGGGCCAAGGTAGCACGGGCCATGCTCAGTACACCCTCTCGAGTGTGGTGCCCACCAATGAAGCCACTGGTATGGACGAAGATGCATCCAGGGATCCCACTGATCTGGTCCAGAGCCTCATCCCGAAGACCTCGCCATGGCTCTGGTAGGGGCAACCTACAAGTGAGCAGAAAGAGAGAACTGAGGTGGCTGAAGGACTGAGAGACTCACAGAGCAGAGGTCAAGGTTGGCAGCCTCTTTGTACTGGGCTGAAGCAGGCCTGAGACTGCAGGGCGGTTCCCTGGCCTTACCGGCTCGGGAAGGAGTGGAGCTCCTTAGGTACACACTGGACCCGCCACTGTCCAGCCTGGTCAGTGTAGATAACGAAGGCAATGGTCCCAGGTGGGGATAGCTCAGATTCCAGTTGGTAAAGATGCTCCTTCCATGGGCACCCACCTTTTGCCAGTTCCACTATCTCGCCACTTGGGTCCACCTGAAAGGGAAGTAGGGCATGGCTACATATAGGGGAACGTTTAGGGGAAAAGCAGGGTCCCCTACTAACCATCAGCTCACCGGCCATCAGGTGTACCTGGAAGCGCTGAGCTAGGTCCTCTTCCACCAAGGCCCGGGCCGGAAGCCAGCTGTGCCGGTAGAAGTCTAGTCGCTGAAGAAACTCCTCTCGAACCAGATCCATTGCACGCCTGAACCCTGCCTGGGGATGGTGGGACTCAGAACCATGGCTCTGACCCAAACCTTACTTTAAGGCTTAGGAGAAACCAGCGTTCCCACTTTCTTCTCTATTCTAGGTTCTTTTGTGTCTTAGGGTCTCTTTCCTGGGGTTCCTCCTTACCTCGGTGTCCTGGTTGGGTTGGTTCCAGGTAGGATTAAGTCGAGCAACCCGGGCACTCAGGTTAGTTGTCAAGGCATAACGAGGCTCCCCATCCCATTGGGAGATCCCATTGTCCACTGCGTCCACTTCCTCCATGAAGTTCTCGTACATCTGATGCATCAGCAGAGGAGATGCCATTGAGGACACCCACCATTTATGCAGTCATCTCTGTTTCTTTTTGGTGGTGCCAGGGATTAAACCTAGGGCCTCAAACATGCTAAATACATGCTCTACCACTGAACTACAAACAAACACTTTGACTAGGTTTTACCCATGAGGAGGATCTACCTAACTACCTGCTGGAGGCAGTGAGGCAGAAGTGGGAAGTCTGGTGGCTTAAGATCTAAGATCTAATAGTGCTGAGACTGGACTTCAACTCGTTCCACTGCACACAGTTTAAGCCATGGCTAGTATGTGTACATGTGTGGGTGTGGGTGTGCTGCTGATGAACGAAGAGGCCCTCAGTTCCCAGAGGCCCTCACCAGAGTGGATCCCTATGGCCACGGGAGGGTAGATCTCTAAGGATGAGTAGGCCATTCAGTGACCCAATGAAGTATAGGTGGGTCTAGCCAAACACACGTTACACAGAAAGGAATGAGTTTGACTCGATAATCAAGAGCTAGGATGTGGAGGTTTGGGTCCCAGGGAAGCCTAATGTATCATGACATCTGCAGCTGTGGCATCTCATAAGCCTGAAGAAATGGTAGAATTATTCCTTGGGAGTTTGGGGGCAGAAACAATTAGGAATGTTTTATAGAAAACTGCCCTACAGAAAAGGTCTCCACATTAGTTATAGCTGTGGTACATGGTCAAGTGCTATGCTCAGAGATGAAAAAGAACTGCTCAGCACCTTAGATTAAACCCAAACGTGAGGCTAGGTTAACACAAGTTTTTTTGGGGGGTACCAGGGACTGAACTCGGGTCCTTGCACTTGCGAGGCAGGTGGTTTACACAAGTTTAATTTAGTTAGCTATTTAGGAAATCCTCAGCATTGGAAATGAAAACTGATCAGGCAGTCTAAAACCTTGGTAACCCTAAAACTCTAGTGTAACCTGTTCACAAGTTTTTACCTTAGGAGTATATGCATGACTTGTCATAGGGGTAGAAACTGGCAAGCCAGGCCTGAATACTGAACAAAACCACCAAAATGAATCTTTTTTTTTTTTTTTCGTACTGGGGATTGAACTTGGGTCCTTACTCTTGTGAGACAGGCAGCAGAACCACTGAGCTAAATCCCCAGCCCCTCAAATGAATCTTAAGATCTGACTTGTGAACTTCACATTGTCAAGTAGGTGCCCTCAAGTATTACTTGACCTGACATTTGAGGACCGCCAGCTCTGATCCTTTCCTATCAGGAAACCATTTGCAGGGGACATTGGTAGAACATGTTTTCATAATAAGTCCTTTCCCAACTCCTGTGTCTTAGTGGTATATAAGATATACTTTCTCCAACCTTTAAGGCAGTAAGAACCTCTAAGCCCAATGCTGCCAAGTATAAGCACTTTTTCTGTTAACAAAAAGGCACTAAATAACTGCTTTTAATGGATATTAATACTATGAAATGCTTTGTGGTTTCCCAAACCCTTTCCCAGAACGGTGCAATGGCACATGCCTATAGTCCCAGCACTCAAGAGGCTGACACAGGAGGATTGCTTGAACCAGAAGCCTGTGCTCAGCCTAGTGAAGAGCAAGACAACAAATAAAACCAAGCCAAATTCAAAGCCTTTTCCCATATATTACGTCCTCCACTGCTCATACCCACCCAGGAAGTAAGTGGGGAGACATCACCATCCCCTTGGAAGAGGAACCTGTAAGGAAGGGACTGTTGGCCCCTATGGGCCAAAATCCTAACCTGAGGCCCAGTCCAGTGCTGCATGAGTGCCACTCCCAGCTGGCTTGCTGGAGATGGGGAGGGTTCTCTGTCTTCAGGTCCCCACCTTATCATAGATGGTGCCCACCATGCTGTCCTCTTCACTAGTGCCCAGCAACTGTGCCAGCAGCTTGTGCCCGAAGTGCAGATAGATGAGTCCTGCACTGCTCAGCTTGGTCTGCCATGGCTTCCCAGGGGACAGGGAACTCATGGTCTCTGTGAAAGACCTGAGGAGCACAGGGAGGCAGGACTGAGGTGAAGGAGCAGACCTGGTTAATAGTGTGTGTGTGTGTGTGTGTGTGTGACACACATGCACATGTGCAGACATGGATGAGATAGGGGATGAGAATACTGCAGGAGCTAGGATGAGAAAGCCTCAATGGAAGGCTTTAGTTTTTTTCTCAGGAGTCAACACAGACCGTGTCTTGATGTCTCCATTTTTTTATTCACTTAATAGGTAAAGCTCAGTGCCTGTTCACTAGATGCTTGGTTTTGTGTGTAGACATTAAGGAGAAAAAAACAAGATCATGTCCATGCCTTTTTTTTGGAACCACTGAGCTAAATCCCCAGCCGTGCCCTTGCCTTTCTAATACATCTGTTAGAGGAAGAAACAACCAACCAAGTACAGTAGTCCTTCATCAGATACCAAAATCTAGAAATGGAGTATTTGCATGTAAACTATGCACAACCTCCTTTATACTTAAACCATCTCTCAATTTTACTTATAATGCCTAATACATCAGAAGTGATGTGTAACGGGCTGAGGAAACAGCTCAGCAGCACCACACCTGCCTGGCAAGTGCAAGGTCCTGAGTTTGATTCGTGGTACCAGGAAAACAAAGTGATGTGTAAACAGCCATTACACTACATTATTATTTAAGGAATAATGACAGAAAAATCTATGTGTTCAATACAGGGTCAATGTAAAAAAACTTTCTGATCTGTGGTTGAGTCCTCAGATGTGGACTCACAGATACCATAATCCAGCTAGGTTACAGCAAGGAAAGGAGGGTGGGAATGAGGAAAGGAGCAGAAAAGCAAGCCTTCAGGTCAGTCCTGAAACATGCATTCATGGAACTGCAAGAAAGGCAGCTTCTGGGGCTGGGGGAGTAGCTCAGTGGTAAAGCGCTTGAAGCCCTGAGTTTGATCACTGGAGATGGAAGTGGCAAAAGATAAAGCTGGAAGGGAAGGAAGGGGCCAGCCTATGGGGAACTTTGTATGCCATGTTCTGAAGTCTGGGCTTCGTCTGTAGGTAGTGGGGAGTCTTTGGGGGATTACACAGACAGGAGCACAGCAGAAAGAACTGTACCAGCCAGCCTGGACAACAGAAGCAAGGAGATTGCCTGCAGTGGTCCAAGGCAGGCAGAAATCTGAGCAATGGGGCAGAGAGGGAACAGTTAGGACACTTTAGGGAAGGAGACGCTATATCTGTGATGTCTAATTAGAAAAATGTTTTGGGGGTGAAGGGTTAGGGATGGAATCCAGGGCCTTCTGTATGTTAAGCTTGTGTTCTAGCTCTGAGCTACACCTTAGCCCACTCAACTGTGATTTTCAAATAGTAGTCTATCTGAGTTCATTTTCAGTTTTATGACTTAAAGTGTAAAGACAAACTCCTCAGATAAAATTGCAAAAGAAACAAAATAAATATATTGTTGATGAAAATAGACCTGTGCTAAACTATAAGAGCGAAAGTATGATGAAC